ACAATCCCAATGGATGGGCTGAAGTACTCTGTGACGCGGAATTTGCCCACAATCAGCGATCCCATTCAGCCAGGAATGAATCGCCTTTCTACCTCATGATGGGTTATCATCCGCGAGCAATACCCGCAGTCACAATCAATACGGAGCTACCATCAGTAGAGGAAAGGCTTCAACGACTACAAGCTGCAAGAGAGGAAGCGATCGCCATGCACGAATTGGCGCGACAGAAGATGATCGATAGAAGCCGACAAGGGTTCACCCCATTCGAAGTTGGAGAGAAGGTTTGGCTAGAAGGCAAGAACCTACGGATCAATTACCCATCCAGGAAGATCGCCCCAAAACGCGAAGGACCATTCAAGATCAAGGAAGTTCTAGGCCCACTCTCGTACCGTCTAGACTTACCCAAATCCTGGAAGATTCACCCCGTGTTTCATCCCTCGCTTCTTTCACGTTATCGAGAGAACTCCACTCACGGGCCGAACTATCTCCGACCTCCACCGGATGATATCGAAGGCAAAGAAGAGTACGAAGTTGAGACCATCTTAGCCCACCGTGGGAGCACCTCACGTCGCAAGTACCTTGTCAAATGGAAAGGTTACCCGTCGGCCGAAAATTCATGGGAACCCGAGCATGTGCTTGAGAACGCCAAGAGCCTACTTCAAGAATATAAAAGCCGGAACCATCTCTAGCAGGACTCACCAACAACTCATACCATGTCTCACTCACGGAACGATTCGTGCACCTTCACCTCTTCTCAACGTCCTCCTCGCAATTGTCCCTATGATCAGGACCCCCACTTTATCAGTATCATCCACCAAACCTTGACGGAACACTATCACGACCCATCCCTTCGACGACGACTAGGACGAGATGCACTGGGGGCAGGTGTAGCCAGAGAGATATTGGAACTAGAGGACGATCTTCAAACAATCTCCAAGTTGTGCGACCTGAACGCACAAATACAAGATCTACTCCAGTCCACTTACGACACTGTGGAGCGTACCACATTCCGACTCACTCATATCCTCCTGCATCGAGGACTACTCATTCCCCTTCGCGACTTCCTACCCGTCGACTATCAGAATCCCCCATCCAACCAGGAGACTACCCCAGTGACTTCCCATTCAACCTCTCATCATCCAACCCCTGATCCAATTATCCATCCAACTGGATCCAGAGAAAACCCCATTGACGTCGACGGTCCAGCGCTGCCTACAAATATGACAGGAAGATATGGCAATATCTGCTGGGCATGTCAGCAGCCTGGTCATTTCCAATCCCATTGCCGACTCTTCCGCTGCCGCATCTGTGGACGCACTCAACCAGGGCATTATCCATCTGCCTGTCCTCAACGAACTGTTTGGGACAATGCTATCCAAGAAGCCACCGAAGAGCAAGACTATGATGATGGCACTCTTGTGGACCTGGACGGTTCGGTAACCGGTCATAACTAGGAAGTTTGGGTAAACTTCGACCATAGGAAGGGGGTAATGTTATGATTTTCCCATGCTTATCTCATTCCATTTCCATTCCGAGCATTGCTATTGGACAGTACCTTTCTCTGAGTAGAACTTCTCATGGACGCTATCTTCTTCCCACACGTTATCTCCCTTGACTCACCTTCTACCAATGGGCGCCCTTGTATTTCTCATTTCTCTGAGTTACGTTCTCACAGGATAGCTTACGCGTCCTTTCTTATTGTTCTCTTCTTTGAGTATTAACCCCTATACCAGTTACTATATATACTGTAGGAAAACCCATGTATTCCTTAGTTCAACCTCCTGTTGAATACAGCGATTACCTGGACTCTTGACTTGACCGTTGGCATTGGCCCAGCCAGACCTACCTTTCAGTACGCTTACTGAGGTAGTGACGACATAACTGTTGGCACGTGGCCCAGTTATCTCAAGACGACTAGTTAGGACATCGCTTCCTAACAGAAATGAGGATCAAAAGGCACTAACAAGGTTCAAACCCACGATATATCACAATTCTGCTTCCATGCGATGAACGCGCAACCATTACACTACAAACTCAACGCAGGAACAGGTAACAATGCATATGTCACCCAACTACCCTTGCGTCCCATAATTTATTGGGAGGATTGCATTGAGTCAATTCCACACACAGCCGGGGGATGCCTGACAGTGCCATTGGCCCGAGATCTTGGAAGGATCGTGCCGTGCAGAGACCACACTACATATCTGGAATTAGTCCCTATTCACAAATGGTAATCATTGACATGAGAGGTAATAGCTCCTATTTGCTGATGGTGGTAAGATTTGGATCGGTGGACCTTCCATTTAAGGAGGGTGCTCCCGTTACAGTTAAGGTAATTTGGGCTATAAGGGGTATACCCCTGTTCAACGCTGGCAATTTTCGATCACCAGAGAGCCCTATACAACGACTGAACAGTAAACCGATTCTAGGGGAATCGGAATGGATGATTGCTCGATATCTGGCTGCAAGGAGCACAAATATCATGGCATTGCAGTAAATACTACCTGTATTCGAGGTTATGTACACTCCAGTTATATATAGCACCCAAGTACGAGCCTCTGCATTATATTCTAGAATTACTGGGCACATCTATCTAATTTTCGGGTCGCTGCACGTTGTTATCGCAGTCGCTGCGAGATCAGCTTTTCGTCCAATCATACGGGATTATAAAAGCAGGACCCCATGACCGCCGATGAGTGGCTGTAAGGGGAAGCGCCCATGTGGCGCGTGTTTGAGTATGTTTGGTCGCGACGCGACTTAGAAGGAAGTTTGGATATACGTAGCTTGGCAGACAACTACTACCTTCTACTCTAAGGAATACTCCTGTACTCGTGTATCTGTTCGCAATACGACGAGGGTTCACTTAGCCCCGGTGTGTGATAGCTACATACTGTACTGTACGTTTTCCTACACTTTTTTAAGTGCTCACCGCGTTCAACTC